GGCCTCCACTGACTGGTTGAAAAGTTGATTACAGACGCTATTGACAAGGCTACTACTTCCCTCTCTCACAAATCCGACAAGCTCTCTTGCTCCCCAAATCCACATGACCCTGACTCCTACTGTAGTACACTTGACAGCCAAATGAAGTCTCTTAATGATGAACTTCAAAACGCTAAAAACTCTAATGATGACTCTAATAAATCTCTAATATCATCTTTAGAAGCTGAAATACAGCGCTATAAATCCAACAAAGATGACTGCACTAAGTCCCATTTCATGGATGAGCAGCGTATGTCCTCCCTTGAGGCGGAAGTGCAGCATGGCATCGATGTTATTGTGAAGCTTACACAGTTTAGTGGCTCTGAAAAGAGCATTGTAGACCTAATTGAGAAAGAGATTGCGAGGCTTACAAAGCAGCAAAAAAACTGTGAAACCTGTCAAAAGTCTCATCCCTCTGCTGACTGTCCTCAGCATAAAAAGCTTGAGGAGCTTAAAGAGAAACGTGATGAAATTAGCACTAATAAAGATAATAATCCACGTGATTTACTTGATAACCTCTGCACAGGCCTCGAAAAATTTCTCGGCTTCAGTAAGGGGAATTACACCGGAGAGGGCATCGTGTACTCGGACCTTGACAGGCTGTGTGACGGGGTGATGGCGTTCCTTCATGGTGTTTTAGATAACATTCAGCCTAAATTAGGCTTACATAGAAATAATATTCAAAGTGCAATTATGTCCCTTGAAGCCAATAAACATCTTGGCAAAGAGGGTTTTAATACTGCGATTCAAGCAGTGGTCACGGGGGTGAGGCAGTATAATGATTTTGTTCAGGTTAGTAACGACAGTGTAAAAGATCCAATTAATAATTTACTTGTGCAGGTTGGAGAAGAGTTCAGGAAAAATGTTTCTGCAATATTACCCGAGAAGGATCAAGACAACGCCGGACGAGTGGAAGTGGCCAAGGAGCAAGTGGACAGGAAGCTGGAGCAGTGTAAGGAGAACGCCAAGACATTTAATGAAGCTTTTAACTTAGACACTAATATAGCCATGAAAAACGCAGTTAATGATCTTAATCCTAAATTACATGACAGTGTATTAGTAGCTGCGAAAGCAGTGAAGCATGAGACTAGCCGACTGGAGGAGTTGGCTACGAGGGAGCACACAGACATGTGTGCCACAGTAGCTTTGGTAAAATCGACGCTTGAAAGTGCCAGAGATTGCGTGAATAAGACGATAAGAGAAGATGTGACAAAGCTTGTCAACAGGTTTAGAGACACTGTTCAGAGCTTTTTGGCGCAGCTGAGGCACATTGAAAGTAAGCTGCGGCAGTACATCAGCAAGCTGGGAGAGTGGATTAGCAAGGTGGAAGAACTACTAAAATCGGCGGATAAAAACGTGAAAACTGTATTGAATGAGGTTAAAGAAGGCAGCGGCTCCAGTATGTTTCCCACTCAGATTAAATCCATTGCCGATCAGATTAAGTCGGACGCGGAGCACCTTGAAAGGGTTGCGAGCTTCGCTAAGGAGGAAGTTACTGCAAAAGTCAAGGAGGCGTTAATTGCGGTGAACACAATGAACAGTCAGCTTATGGGCGACCTGCAGACGATGAACACGCAAATTAAGGCAGGGGTAAAAGAGTATGTTGAGAAGCTGGGAGAGGCGTTTAAGGCTGGGATGAAAGAGGCGGTAAACTATGATCCTTTCGATGCTGATGGTAATACAGGAGGAAAGGGTGTTGCAGCTTTCAAAAAGGCTCTTAAAAGTAAGAGTGTTGAGTTTAAGAATTTGCTTGAGTTGCTGAATGGCTCATCTAAGGCGCCCGACAATCCTGCTTACGGTTTAGAATGGGCTCTGCATTCAATGCGCGGCCATCTATCTCATCATCTGAAGCAATCCTCTCCACTTATTACGAAGATTATAGCTGACCTTCAGGCTCCCATTGAGGAGCGGTTTGGGCCGACTGTAGGTACCGTCGTTAACTTAAAAAACAAACCAAAAATTTTACAGACTTATCAAAGCCATGTTGACCAAAACAGCCTGACTGAACTTTCGAACGGTATTCTAAAACTGACTGCAGGCGATGGCAACAAGCTCCCCAAGGCGATCAAAAAAATTCAACAAGATGTAACCGAAGCGCTGACGCCACTAGAGGGCATCGAAAACGGCCTGGCACTGACTACCTTCACAGTAAAGAGCAAACTTGATGAGATGATGAAAGCTATTTTGAAAGCCGGGGAAGCCGCCGAATGGAACATATTCAACCTGAAAAATGAATATTTCAAAGACTCCAAACAGAATTACAAAGACGCGGCAAACAGCATTAAGAAAATAAAGTATGAACTTGAAACGTTACTCGGCAGTCTGTCGAATGGCCCAATCCAGGACGCCGATAAGTTCATAAAAAGTCTCGACCTGACGTGCGAATCTACAATCCAGGTACTCGAGAACCACGTGAAAAAGGAGGTCAAAACCGCTGAAGACACACTGACGACTCACGCAAGGAAGCAATACGTGACTAATATTAAGAATTTATTAACCAAATTCGCCGACAAGGTGCAGAGCGAATTGGATCCTTTGCCAGCAGAAATAAATTATGATTTAACGATAGGTCAAAAGGGATTTATGAAGAAAATACATGACTATTTTGCTAGCCCAATGAATGACTTCTTCCCGAAACGTGTCGTTTCAACTGAGCAACCAAAAACATTGAAGGATTTTGCCGATAAAATAAATCACTGTTTTAATCATTTCATGCTACGGCTGCAAGACCAAGATGATTACAAGGATGCGCATTCACACTTCAAGCCTCCGCACGAATCGCTCAGCAGACTGCTGAACAAGCTTGTTGACTCCAAGCATTTCGATCATAAATTCAGCGATAACCTTGAACGCCTCCGCAGGAGGCTGGCTGAGTGCGGACCTAAACAGTTTGGTGAGACATCCACTGTTTTGTTGGAGGCGCTTAAAAAGGGAACGGTAGCGTTGGCTTCTCAGCTTGGCAACGCATATGTTAGCACGTACTCCGGTGTAGAGTTTGCCGATCAGTTGTGGGCCACTAAAAAGGGTTCAGAGCCAAAATCCGAATTGACCGACGAGGGAAGAAACTGCGCCCAGGCGTGTCTCACCCTCTTGGCAACCTTGCATAACGATTTTACCGTACTGTTGAAGGAACGTAAAACGTATTGGAACAAAAATATTTGCCTCCTTACCAAAGCCGGAGAGGAGAATGCGTTTGGTCACTTGCTCCGTGAATGCGGTTTCCGTGTCCCCTCCAAGGAAGGCATTCAGGACGGCGAGTTAAACTGCCACGAGGACAGAGACAGTACATTCATCCATGACCTTATCACCAAACAAAATCTCGTTAAACAGGAGGACGAAAAGGAAGATGAGGCAAGCAAAAAGCATCACAGCATTATCAGAAAACTCTTCGACCACCTCCACTCTTATTATGAAGTCCGCCATCTCGATCGTCCGTCGTCACCTAAGGCCCCCAGTAATATACAACAAATGCTCACATGGCTGACCGGCCTGCCACATAATCACGTTTACCAGGATTTACTAATTGACGGTCTCAGCAGCCTGTTTGAGAAACCAAAGGGGGAAGCCAAGGGAAGCAGTAAGGACACTATCACTGTCTCAGTCGAAGGCGGCATCAGTCCGGGAGTCAAGACAGCCGCATTGGTCAAGGATCCCGACACCCTGGATGCGTATCCACAACCGATCACAGCCTCTAATCTCAGAGATAAACTTACAGCAGTATGCCAGTATTCTCACCATGTGCTCACTTCAGTTCTTGGTCATGGTCACGCCGACGGTATTTACGCCTGTGAATTTAGCACCAATTCACAAGGTTTCCTATACCCGTCTAGCATGAACACATTAATCTGTACCTTGTATGATATCCTCCAACGTGTTTACGAACAGTGTTACTTCCTGTACCAAATGTGTACGCACGACACTACATTGAGTGGGTGTAAAGATTGTTGGTACGGCAGCGGTGTCGGTGGCTCCAGTTGGAAGTGTAACAGCTTACAGTGTGCCAACCAAATATGTGACCAGACACATAACCAATGTGGTAACCAACGTGCTGACCTAAGTGCTGACCAACGTTGTGACCAATGTGTTAGTTGTGGCCTAAAATCCCCTCTCCAGTCGTTCCTGGAAGATGGGTTACAAGGCTTCCTACCGCACATCCTATCATCAAGCAACGGCAAACTCAACTGCGCAGTCAAAAACCATTTCAACGTGCCGTGTAAAACGCCGATGGGCTTTGCCGATATCACTACTGTAGCATCGCATCGACAAACAGGCCAATGTATTTTTGACGCACTTCATGCTTTCTGTGGCAGGAAGTCATCTCCCCTTACTGCACTTCTCAGTCAACTGAGATGTGTCCTACCAAGCGCACCTAAAACGCTCGGTGACATGTTCGGGTTCTACTACAGTCTACTCAATGGATGGAATGCCAAAAGCACACTGAGTGATATACGTAACCAACACAGGGAAACCGCTTATGGAGATGCTGTCAGAAAAGCAAACTTCAAACGGGACGATACGACGTTGGACATTACCACAATGTTCGGTAACACTAATCACCGCTCCGGAAAATACACGCCACACCACGATGGAGACCTATATTCACTTGTTCTCTGTAAATCAAAAACCCCTGCATACGACACCTGCGGTCCATATATCAAACCAATATGTCGTGACATATGCGGTATGTTTGCCGAAAAGCATGCTGGTAAGCATCTGTCCACAGTTGTGTATCTCACAGAATCATTCTACGATTTGCTGAAGCAGTTGTATGAAACATGCAACAGCAAGTGCGGCAAGAAAGAAACAAAGTGCTATGTAAAAAGCTGTGCAAATGGCTGCGCAAAGAAGCAGTCAAATGGCAAACCAAACGACAAAATTCACGATGCTTCATGTAGTTCAATTGTTAGCTGCAAGACAATGCTTCCCACTTTATACAGCTATGGATTCGTCTTCGACGACACGGATGCTCTAAACGGAAATGGCAAGACAAGCACTAAAAAAACGTGCGCAGATCTATGCAGAACATTGGAGAGAATATGTCACGGCAAATCCGTGCTTGCAAATATAGTAATTAACAAAATTCCAGAATTCCTCTGGAAAATCAGGGCACCTTACATATGGACTCTGTTAGCCCTCTGGTCGCTCTCTTTGCTCTACCTGCTGCACATCACCGTCGTCCGCCTCGACGTGCTGAGGATACGCTCCCACCTGCGATCACCCTCAAGCCACCGCATCGCCGCGCAGTCCCTCCTCGCCGCCGCACGCGTCAGGGCACTCGCCAACGTCAAGTACTTCTCACCATAATCGTGCCTTCACGTGTGATATGTGTATCACCCACTCACTCACTCACCTCCCTCCTTCACTGGTCGCTTCGCTCCCTCCTCCCTCCTTCCTTCATCACCTCCTCCGTCGGCGTCCTTCGCCCCAATCCTCTTTTTCCACCTTCCCTTTCCACCCCTAAAATTGCCTTACCTCCACCCTACTTCCTCCCTCTCTCGCCCCTTCACCTCCCTCACCCTGTCCGCCCACCTCCCTCACTCCCTCGCTGCCTCCTTGACCTAAAATCGCCTTTCTCCAAAATCCGCTAAATCGCCCTTAAAATGTGCCATTTCTTCCTTCTTTACTTCTTTTAACCCTCCCTTAATCCACCTTTTATCCAAGTATAATGGCCATTATTCCGAAGTACATGGGTCTGACTCTAAAAGAAATAGTGCTTTAGGTGATATTGATGCCCGTCGTATCTCTCTTGGTCAGCTTGCTGGACAGCTTGGGACGTTTGTTGGTCCAGGGAAGAGTGTTACTGATGCTATTAGTGCTGCAATTACTTGTGTTAAAGAACAGATTAAAACGTGTGAAGAGTGTCAGAAACTTAAGAATAGTCAGACATCTCGTAAGGATTGTCACTGCCCTGAACATGATAAGAAGCTTAAGGAACTTGATAATAAACCTGCTGAAATTGCTAAGCAAAATAACAATCCTAAAATGCTTTTAGAAAAGCTTTGTGATGGCCTCGAGAAATTTTTAGGCTACGATGAAGGTTCCAAAGGCTACGATGGCTCCGGCATCGTGTACTCTGACCTCGACAGGCTCTGCGACGGGGTGATGGCGTTTCTCCTCCAATGCCTTAAAGGCAGTCAAACACTTTTAAATCATTATTTTCCTGATATTACAAGTACAATTAGTGACTTGGAAAATAAAATAGGTAAGGGCTCTGGTGTTGAGGGATTTCGCGATGCCATTGGGATTGTGCAGGCGGGGCTGCAGGGGTATGAGAGTAAAAAGGATTTACGTCTTAATAGTTTTAAAGATCCTTTAAGCAATCTGCACACTCCGTTTCAAGATCTGAGAACGTATTTAACTACTGTAAATGATAAAAATCTTCAGACTCAACTAAAGGAAGTGTCCTCAAAATCCTCCACCTACAGGATGTATGTCAAGGCATCTGAAGAAGCCTTTAAAAGACTTGATGAAGACTTACGAGGTAAGTTAAAATGTCCAATTAAATTGGTTTTGCAGGCGGCGGAGACATTTAAAAACGTTGCCGAGAATCCAAATGTTAGGATCCAGGCGCAAGTGGTGGACGAGGGGTTGAAGGAGAAACAGAGAAGTATTTTACAGTCGATTGATAATCAATCGAGAAATCTTCAGAATACTCTGAATAGTGGATTTATGGGTATCAAAAAGAATGTTCAAACGTTATATAGTAAGAAAGAGCAACAGTTCAAGTTGCTAAGGAACGCTGTTAAAGCTGCTAAGGATGATGTTGACAGATTGCTTGGTAAAGATGGGAACGATTTTGACGATAATTATAAGCACATTATTGCTGGTCATTTCGATAGTATACGCGAATCAGTGGAAAATCTTTATTCACAGTTAGATTTAAACAAAAGGGTCCTTGACGGATTGGTTCAGAAGGCGAAGGTGCAGTTTAGGGAGATTCAAACAGACGTTGGGAAGAAAAATGCAGGACTACAAGCTACTATATATCAAGAATGGGATGCGCTGAAAGAGAAGATGAAGGGGTTTGTTGATGGTTTGACCCGTAAAAATGGTGGGAATTCAAGTCTACAGGATGTCGTAGACGGCATACTGAAGTACGCCAAGGGGTTTGGTGAGGAGGCTTTTGAGAAGGATGTTTTGAGTACTTGGGTGAGAGAGATTGGAGAAGAAGAAGGTGGCGCTGTGTATAACAATATTTATCAGTACGTCAGACAGAATTATAACAAGGGCAATCTGGATGCTATTGAAGGTGGAAATACACCTAAGGCTAAGGCGGTGCAAGAGGCCATTACATCCACGCTTCCAGATTTAATTGCGAGCGAAATTCAAATTGTTGCAGATAAGTACCTGAAAGGTGCAAAAATAGAAACCATTGCTGAAAAGTTCAAGAGATTTGCGGACAACGTAGGAAGTGAATTTTTAGCGATGGTTCATCACTTGGAGTTGCAGTACAGGTGATTGGGCTCCACTTGGGTATGTCACAACACGCTTTAATGCCACTCTCCGATGATAAACATCTCACAGCCGCTGTGAAAGGCATTGCTATGTCCATAGTAAATAACATTAGTCGTCTTTCCACGGAACTAAAGTCCTTCATTGAGAAATCAAAAATCAAAACCAACCTGCAGACGGCCATCGATAATGTCAAGGATATCGGCAATCAATTTACTGATGGAGATAACGGCGATGACTCGAATACCGATCACGGCGCAAAGATCGACGCAGCGTTGCAGAAGGTGAGTGCAGCAATTACGCAGCTTGAGGGGTTGCTAGGTAAAATGGCAGACGATGGGGGTGCAATTCAAGAGAAGATTAAAGAAATCGAGACGAATCTCGGTGAGCTCAATAACATTTGGAAAGATGAGCAAGACGGCCGAATTAAGAAGAAGCAAAAAGATGCCGAAGACCTTATGTTGGAGTTACAAGACGAGATTAAAAAACTTCAGAGCGAAATTGGAGCCATTGGAGAGTCAGTCGAAACAGCAGACGAAGAACTAAATAGGGCTATCATATCGCTGGAAGATGCTTTGGAAAAGGCCAGGCAAAGTGCAAGCCAATCCCTCTCCCTGCTTAGAACGACACTCCTCGCCAAAGTCTCCTCCGCCTTCTCCACCCTCACAGCCCAAGTCCAATCCCTCTTCGCGAAGCAGAGCAGGCCGAGCTCACGCAGCTGCAGAGCGTCGTCACGGAGCAGTTGGAGAAGATAGAAGAGATAATCAGGGAGGATAAATCAACAGGGGTGAAGGGTTTTTTGACGATATTAAGAGAGGGGATGTTTGAAAATTTCCTGAGTAGGTCGCATCCTTTAAAAGATGGCATGAAACTATCAGAGTTGGCTGTACAAGCTGTAATTTGTTTTGAGGGTCTGTTTGAATATTTTGATGAAGAATTGACACCAAAGAACTCCCGACTTGTACGTACATTGCATTCTCAGTCTACAGGTCCTCATGCTGCTATGGTTGAGAACATCAGAAGTGTTCTCAACGCCTTGCTTGGTCACTTAATAAATACTAATCTTAAAACATATGACTTTGACCACACCTTTAGAGAGAAAGTACATGAGCTCACAGTGTCGGTAGGCGCCTTAAGCGCTAAAACGTTCGGCGAGGGAAGGAATCCCGAGCTGCTGAACATCTTTAAGAGTGGCATGTCGGCCCTCACCACTGAACTCTCCCACGCGTACGTTAACGCTTATAGCGGTAAACACTTTGTAGGTGACTTAGTAACCAAGTCTACTGAACAACCCACCGAACAAGTCCTTTCCACCGAGGGCCGCAACTGCGCCAAGGTCTGCCTGACCATACTGGAGACGGTGAATAGTGGGCTGAAAGGGTTGCGGAAGGGATGTATTAAGAGTGGTAGCGGTATGCAAATCAATTTATCGAATGGCCTAGGAAAAGCCTTCCAACGACTAGGCTACGATGTTGCCTCTAGTCCAACCACCCAGGACGGTGAGTTACGTAATAAGAAGGGTTTCACCGGTGAGAACATTTACAGTGATCTCCTTGTCTACAAACATAATACTGGAAAAGGTGATAAAACATATCAACTCGTCAGCGACGATGACGACAACAAGGAGAAGAAAGATAAACATGGTGTCATTAGACAGCTCAACACCCATCTTGGCAGATATTACTACGTCTCTCACTACTACATTCCTCCGAATCCGAAATCACCAAGTAACATCTATCACTTGTTACAATGGCTCCTCGGTTTATACTTTAATCCGATTTATAGTACGCTTGGTGAGTACTTCAAGGAATTGTTTGAGAAGCCCGAAAATTATAAAGATAAGAAATATTCCGAAATTGATGAAAGCCAACTTAGCTTACTTGCCACCACAACAATTAGACCAAAGACATTAAAAGACACACTCCGATTGGTGTGTTTAGACTCCGCAGACACTCTGATCGCCTTTCTAGGCCACGGCCATCCTGACGGCCGATATGCCGTTGACTTTTACACAAACACCGACGGTTTGTCGTACCTAGCAACGCCGGTCAATGTTTTGACATGTTGGTAGATATATTGAATAGAGTGTTTTATCAATTGCGTTTCTTATGTACCCAGTGTTCCAACAGCCGTAGTCGTGGTGGTTGGCAAGACTGCCACTATGGCCAGGGAGTTGGCGGTTCATCATGGAACTGCAACACCATGCAGTGCCCCAACCAAATAGCGAACCAAAACGGAAACCAAAGCTCTGACCAAAACTGCGAGCAACCATGTAATCAACATCCCAAGTGCGGCATCAAATCACCACTGCAGTCGTTCCTGAAGACGGTTTGCAAGGCTTCCTGCCACATCAGTTCACGAAGCCAGGTTGTAAGCTGGAATGTACTGTGCCCAATCATAGAGGCAAGCCGTGTCTCACTCCCATGGATTTGCAGACATTGGTACAGTTGCTTCGCGTACAAAGGACGGTGTCTATCTCTGAAAGCACTTTACAGTTTCTGCGGTCCAGATTCTGACCTCCGTAAACTGTGTTGTCAGCTCAATTGTCTACTGCAGACCGCCGCAAACACTCGGTGATATGTTTGCGTTTTACTACCATTCCTTCCAGAATTATAGTGTCGAGGGAAGAAAGCATAAAAAGATGCATTTGATGAAGCTGTCAGAAAATCCAACTTCGAGACGCCAAAACAGAGCTGGACTTTGTGTCCATACAAGGCACCAAGTCGCATTCTGATAAGCATTCCCAAGGTGATCTCTTCAGTCTTACAGACTGTGATTCTAAGTTAGAATCCGGCCTGCCCTGCGGGCCATATTTAGCTTCAATAAGTGAAGACATCAGGTCGGTATATTCTAAGGAGCATGCCGGCAACTATCTGTCGTGGATCGTATATCTTACCCAAACGTTTTATGATCTACTTAAACAACTATGTGAGCAGTGTTGTAATAAATGCAATAAGCAGGCATCAACTGCCGTGGTAAGAAATGTGGTAAGGACTGCACAGTAAAGTATACTGATGGAGCAGACATCAAGCAACTAGAAACTCAGGAGCACCGTGATGACTGCCAATCAATTCTGAAGTGCCCAGATACGCACCCAACACTGTATACATATGGCTTCACATTCGGTAGTCCTCATGAATTATCCGGTGGAAAAGGAGAGGATAAAATACGCACATGTCAAGATTTATGCGAGGCGCTGGAAAATGTATGCCATGGAAAATCACTGATTGCAGATTTAGTAATTAACAAGATACCTGAATACTTATGGAACATAAGATCTAAATTCTCCTACCTCTTGCTCATTTCTCTGGTCGCTGTCGTCCTCTACCTGCTGCACATCACCGTCGTCCGCCTCGACGTCCTGAGGATACGCTCCCACTTAAAATCACCTTCAAGCCACCGCATCGCTGCACAGTCCTCCTCGCCGCCGCACGCGCCAAGGCACTCGCCAACGTCAAGTACTTTCACCATAATC